AGTGTATGTAATACTGAGATGAGAGGACAAACACCGTGGTACGTACTCTTCTCATGGCAGGTCTGAAGCTGTGGGCCAGTTTGCGCAGGGAACTGAGATCTTGCTGAAATCCTTGGAGCTCTGGTGGCGAGGCCTGTTGGACTCCTGGGGGGCCGCTGCTGACCACTGGCCCCGACCCTGCAGGACTGGCCCCCTGCTGCTGCAGCTGCCAAACGTTGGTCCTCATCAGGAGCAGCAGATCACACAACTGCAACTGGATGACCTGCAGTTGGAGGGACATTATGACACTTCACTCTGGTTTAAGGACACTCTTTGTGGGTTTTTTTGGGGGGGTTTATTTTGAGTCAGTGGTTGAAGGATATTTCACTGCACACTGTGTGGTGTTCTGCTGTTAGTGGACGCAGCTCTGTGTTGCATTGCAGGTACATTGCACTTTGCTGATAAACACATGCAATGCAACTACAATGCACTACAGCCCTGTCCAAAGACATGCACACAGTGTGAACTACAGCTTTACTGTTACTGTATAGAATACTGTGTATTTTTATTTGAAATGCAATGTCACTGCTGCTGCTCTGACTTTTCTCAGAGGAATAATAAAAAAAACAAACATGGCTTAACTGTGCAAAAAAAGTGCTTATTCCCAACTACAGATGACTGTGCATGTGTGTGTGTGTGTGTACCTTGTCTAAGCTGGAACTGTGGCTGTGTGGTCCCAGGTTAAGGCTGTCTTTGAGCAGGGCGCTGGCCTTGTCGCTGTAGCTTAGACTAAGTTGGCAGTTTTCTGGCTTGGACAGCAGAGCTCGCACTGCCCTGAATGTGTTCAGACACACCTTGGGCAAGGGAGTCCTGTCAGAAAGTGTGGAGGAAACCAGACAGAGGACACAGGTTAAATTGGTGGAAGTGTATATTTCTGTGTCCTCGCTGCTTGGCAGCAGGCAGAGGTGATGTAGCAGTGTCTTTAACCATCTGTAGCCATTTCTGCAGCCACTACAAACTCACTCTGCGTTCTGCAGACTGCGAGGCAGGTGCTCAACAGTCGGATACAGTCTCTCTGCTGCAGCGTCATCTCCTTGGAGCCAGTTGATGATCACCACAGCAACTGAAGACCACCATTTGGAGTGGGGGTCGCAGCCTGGTTAGTGGAACACGTCAGTCAAAAGTTAGACACCCATGTTTCCCGCTGCCTACTCATAAACATGTGTATACTAAATACAAGCCCAACACAGTTACTGTCTGTCTTATAGATTCTTCTAGACCTTCATCTTTTCTGCCCTCTGGCAAGATCCCACCGTACTGAGGAAAGTACTTTTCTTGATGACTTCCTCATAAGGGAAATCGACTCAATCAGCATCAGTTAAGACACACACGCACATACGCACCAGCACACATCTAATACTGTGCAACCTGAGGCACTGCCAAAAAAAGTCTGCTAATAAAATCCCTGCACAGCCTCTCTTCCCCGTCTTTCCTCTCAAGGTGATCACAGATTTGACAGCACTGAAGATAGATGAAACAATCTGGAGGATGTCTCCGTTTCTCTCAGATCAGTGATCAGTGAGGACAAACACACACGGAGGGACAGTGTACACCTAGCGAAAATAGGGACCACCATCTGAAGTGGGAAAGTAACTTCATCTTATGGCACACTTTTCAGAAACACATTAAATTAATTACACAAGGGAGAAAGGAAAACGCAAGGGAAGAATTCAAGGGAAGTGACGCTCCTGCAGAAGATGTGAAGTAACACAAGATGTAGTGATGAGCTGCATGATTTTTAGTTAGTATGGAGCAATTGACTCAGTTTGGATGGAAATTTCTCACCCACATTCTCGTCAATCAAAGAAACGTACACTTAAAGGAACTTAAAGCAGCAGAAAAGGTTTAAAGTCAGCAGAAATCTGACTCTGAAGTGTTGTTTCTTTTTTTAAATTTCCTGATACATAAAGCAGATAATTAAATATATTAATATTTTCACACTGTTCCTACCGCAGACACCTACCAGTGATGGTGGCCATGTTGGAGCCGATGGCAAAGGACTGAGTTGTGGCACCGGCTGCATCTGAAGCACTAATCAAGAGCTGGAGGTATTCTAGGGCGTCAGAGTACTCCCTGAGGAGGAAGACACTGAACTGTCATTTTAACTGCGGCAGCATTTTTACAGCAATACACTAACTGCGGCAGCATTTTTACAGCAATAATATAATTCATTATACTTATATAATTGTATAATTGTATAATTCATAATTTTACAAGTTGGATGAAAAGAAATATAATATTGATAGTGATATTAAGAGTTATAAAACTTGTTTTTTGCTCTCTCACCCATCAGCCTGGGTGGCACTTTTCTCTCCACGCGGCTGAGCCACACAGTACAGAGCCTTCTCCAGGAGGTGTTCTCTGAATGCCTGAGTCACCTGGGCCAGGGGATCCACTATAGCAATACAAAACACATTCACAGATCAGCTTTAGGCTTGAGGTGACACACTGCCAGAGAGTTTGGCAAAGTTCTAGTAAAGTCTTGTACACCACAGTCACATTGTGGGCATATCACTTGTGTAAACAGTGACCTGTGTTGCCAGCCTGGCTGTAGATACTTTCTTTAGGAGTGCTGCGAATGGCCCAGTCTCCATCCACAAAGAAGCGGTGACCAAGTGGATGGCAGAGCCACTGCATGGCTGGAGGCACGCTGCCACTGGATGACAGGCAGGCTTGACGTGCACTGCTCAGGAACACACGCTTTTGCAGAAAAAAAAAAAAGAGCAGGGAGAACAAATTTTTTAAAAAAAGAAAAGAAATCACACATCAACTTACAACTGCTCCTATATAAGACTGTGTTGAGACTGAAGGGAACTCACAGAGGTGAAATGCAGGATCCTGGGAAGACTGGCTTTGACACGTAAAGCTGCAGAGACGTAGACTTCAGCCAGTGAGGCCACGGGCAGACAGGAACCAGAGCACTCTGCCAGATTCACTGCACTTAGAGCCATGTGTATTGCAGACAGGTGGCTGCCGTTTAGTTTCCCTGGAGAAACAGATTTATATAAAAAAATTAAATATATATATATTTATAACAAAGTGGTCAGGTCAAAATAGTTCAGCTTAACATTGGAAATCTATTTAAATGGGAATTTTCCAAATAACCTGTCATGTGAAGCTGATGAAGGCGGTGGTAAACCAGGGCAGCATCTCTGCTGCTTTTGCAGGCATCCTCCTGTAGGGGGCGGTCAGAACGCAGACCTCCAGCCCTAGCAGCCAGCCAGCGGCCCACCCACAGGCGCTGAAGGGAGAATCTCAGCAGAGACCACAGCGCAGCACAGGCCAAATCCAACTGAGAGGTGGGCAAGGGACGACCAAGAGCCTTAAGACATGTCCACAGGTTCTGACTGGCCTGAGCAAAGTCACCCTGGGGTGGAGAGAGAAAGAAAGAAAAAAAAAAGAAAGAAAGGAAAAAGACAAAAAGAGAGAGAGATAGAGAGAGTGAGAGACTATGTTGACGAGGGAACTTCCTAGAATCACATAAGATTAAATGTAAATGTGAAAATTCAAATGTCCTGAGGTAGAAATTGACAAACCCTGGCCAAATCCAGGTCAGCCTGCTTGCGGTGCCTCCAGAACAGAACAGAGGATCCAGAGTGTGGCCTAGTGACAGGTTCTCCATAAACCAGGAGACGGATCAGAACTCCAGACACCAGGATACCGTTAAGAAGCCACACCAGTATAGTCGGCAACATCCAGTCCATCCAGCCCCATGAGTCGGCTGTGTGTGACAGAATTTGTTATGTTAGAGAATATATATATATATATTAGAATCACTGACCTACACTTTGAGAGTTTATGCCTGCTTACTTCCAATATCCACACCCAGAACACTCCTGCTGCCTGAGTGGTGGGTGGTGCTTACTGCAGCACCTCCAGCTGAGCTACTGCCAGAAGAACACAGCAAAGCAGCCAAAGGGTTGAGTGAGAGGAAAAGGAAGGTGAAGGCGCAGAGTGCCATGCGGGAACGGTCCAACATGCCGCCAGCACTGCTGCCTGCTGTTGATTGGTCTGATGCGCCCATGTTTGGCTGGCACAAAGGAGAAGATGCAAAAAGATTTACATGTGATTGAAGAAAAAAAATCTGATGTAAACAAGCTTTTATAAACACAAAACCAACCAGAATACACAAAATCCAGAATATCAAAACAATTTGTCAATTTCTCTCTATCTGCATCATGTTAACTTTTTAAATGCATAACTTATACATAAAATGTAGAACTGGCATCTAATGTGTATCAGAGGCTACATTCTAATTAATTTGTTTCATTTCCCTAATACATTTTTGAATGTCTTTTTGGACTAAAACTAATGAGCTTCACTGAGAGTCTCATACCTTGGTGTCCTCTCCCATTGGACTGTCAGGCTCCGAGTCGCTGCCACAGTGTGAGAAAGATGTCGGCGACCCCACATCAGATGCTGGTGGAGTGGGCAACTCACTCTTCACGTCAGACTGTCCATCAACTTCCATGGCAACCAGATCTTTGAGGGACTCTGGACGAGGAGCAGAGAGGAAGACAAGGGGCACTTTAAGACAGACTGCTTAATCAACAGGATATTTTTAGCATTGTGGAAGCAGGAAAAAAAAAGGAGAAGGAAAGAGTACATACTGTTCTTCTGGGCCACCATTTTCAGAGCCATGTTCTCCTGTTTGAGTTTCTGATTGGCCTGCTGCAGGTAACGGATGTAGTCAATGGCCTTTCTCAGCACAGCAGACTTGTTGAGCTATAAATATAAAAAAGAAAAAGTTGCAATAAAGAGCTCATTTAACAGAAGTGTTTAAGTTTCCTATAATCTAGCTTATATATAGCATATATGAATCAATACATCAGGACCATGGGGCATGTAGTCATAATATATTAGATCTGAGCAGAAACATAGATTTATGTTTTGATTTGTATCTGTTTAGACTATTATATAAAAATCAGCATCAGCGTCTCACCTTGGCTTCATGGCCAGACACCAGGTCTTTAAGCTCCACAATCTTGTCATTGATGGAGGAGCGGTACCTCTTCTCAATGGCATTGTGGGCTGTACGCTTTTCTCCCTTCGGAGGCTGGCTGCCCAGCTTTCCACTGATGGCGATGCGGTTGATTGGAATCTTCTCAGCATCCACCATGACCGGCACCGTGGTCAGGATGGTACCGCCACCCATAAAAGCCTAAGGAAGGAAACCAGAGAGAAGAACTCATTTATTTTGAAATTTAAGTAATTACCCCAGACATCAAGTTTTGACTTTGCTTCTTTGTCACCATGAATGAGAAAAAATATTTTAGGTTTCAAATTCTATCATATTCATATTCTACCTGCAGTGCTGTGCTCTGTGCTGGACTGGTGCTGGCCAGGGAAGTAGGTGAGGCCACAGTTGTAACTATACAAGGATCATGCTTCAGAGTGGTCAGCAGCAGGGACTCAGCCTTGATGAACTGGGGCTGCAGCAACACCTGAAGAAAATGAAGAAGGGCATCAAACACACAACCTCTGGTGGAAATTTGTTCACGTAAGTGTATTTACATCAAGTCTTTGTTCACTTACAGGAACTTGCTGCACATGAGATGTGATGGTTTGAGACGAGGGGCTGCTGGAAGTGGTGAGCAGGGAAGAGGTGGTGGTCAGACCCTGAAGTGAAGCCTGGATGGTCATTGGCTGGACACTTGGAGGAGATGAAGATAAACTGGTGGTAGGTTGGCTCAGGGTGCCAGCTGGGGGATTAAAAGGCAGATATTTTATGAGCCTAAACGCATGGTGAGACAATGTCTATAATTGGGACATAGAGTTTGTTACAAAATATTTCCATAAAACACTATCACTATAACACCAGCATGGCCCATGTAAACGGAAATATGACAGTAGATGAAAATAAAATATCCTTTGAAATATTATTATTAAAATTACTATAAACTAATCAGTGAGAAATCTCAATAATACATTGCTGTCATATAAATTCACCAACACACAGCCATGAAACAGGTCGGACAAAACCATCATTACATGCAAAAGTCATATCTAGTTTTTATAATGGTTCAAAGGACACTGGTTAATCCCCAGCTCAGGATAAGAGACTGCAGCTCAGTCTGGGTTGGTAGGCTAATGGGCGAAAAGCAAACTCTTTAAGACTTAAATGAGAGCAACAGTCAGTGTGTCACCTTGTAATTCTTATCATTTTTTATCAGCTTATCTTCGTATAGTGACTGTGATCTCACGTCTCAGTCCCACAGTGTGGACATTTTTTTCCAAGGGTTTAGAAAAACTTATTCAAGCATGCACCTATTCAAATTCAAAAACATTTTTCCATAAAATAAACACAGTAATCATACAGGAGAGCTCCTTTAGAGGTCTACTGTTAGTCTTTTTTCTTTATATCTATAAAGAAATAAATGCAAATGGGTTGACTAACTGACATGTGCACATATAATGGGTGTTGTTCCAGACAAAGAACTTTTTTGAGTGACAGACTTTCACTTGCTGAGCAAAGTTCATTGAATAAGAACCTGGACATGTGATCGGCTGAGGCTGAATAATCTACATTGTGGAAACACATGATTAAACTCAGGTGACTGTAAAACCAGACAAAAATGAAAAGTCAGTTTATTAATTTACTAGTTTTTACATTAAAAGCATTTAGATGTGTGTTTCCTTTACACAAGGAAAAACTGATCAATTTTGTTTAACTGAGTTAATATCAGAGGCGGACAAAATGAACAAACTTGGAAACTGCAGCAGACCAGGAGACTTCTTTTGCTCTGACAACACATTGTGATCACAAATGCAAACAGTCACACAAGCAGCATTGTTCTCATTCAGCAAAAAACAAAACATGTTAACATTTGTTCTGGTTTCTACTACACGGAACACGGAAATACTACAGTACAAATAATATTGATGGACTGGGAGCAGAGTGACGCCATCTATCATAAACAGGAGGAAGGAAATTTGATTTTCAGTGTTTCTGCCAGGACATGACATTGCATTATGGGTACAATCCTTGGCAACTTAGTGTATAGCAGAAGCCCTGATTTGGCAAAATTTGTAAAAAGCCTGTTATTTACCTCATCTCCAACAAAGCTCACTCACCTGGGTAGCTATTTTGAGTGCTGTAGGTGGTCCGGGCTTGTTGCGACTGAGCCTGGAGTTGTGACTGGGGTACAGGTAAGGTGAAGACAGCCTGGGGTGAAGTGCTGAATGCTAAACTCGTTCCAGGTGAGCCATGTGGTGAAGCAGCTGGGCTGAGAACAGACTGAGGCTGTTCCACCTGGGGTTGTCTGACAGTTTGAACCTGCTGTGGAGAAGATGGCTGCTGCTGTGGGGTGGTGCTGCCCACATGGGCCAAAGGAGACTGTTGGAAAGTGGGAGGCTGGAAGGCCTTGTCTGGGGTGGAAGAGCTGCGGGTGATGGGAGGCCCTAAAAGTGCATCTAGGTGGGGACTGCTGCTTAGGATCGAGGAAGGCGAAGAGGAAGAGGATGATAACGGAGCTGTTGTAATAGTGGCTGAAGGGGTAGCAGAAGTGATGGATTGGGTTAAACTCGGAAGTTCTTGGGTGGGTGTAGTCACCGGGTAAGGTGGGTTATCAAAGATTCCTCCAAACTCCACATCCTGGTTGTTAAGAAGCTGTAACATATCTGGAGAAAGACAGAACAGAAACAAACAAGTATGCCTTTAAAACGATGCTAGGAATAGTACAACTATGCACAGGAAATTGAACTTGGACAGGTCATAACATCCTTTTCTTAATGACTGCATGGCACCTCGGTAAGACATGTTGGCAAGCAGCACATTAGGAAGCACCTTGTCTGTTTGAAATAAAAGTACCTATTTTCTGACTGTCAAACTGATGCCTTCTAACCTTTTCTGTGTTGACAACACTAAACAAATATTGGAATTCCATATAAGTTATAAAAAAGATTTATTATAAATAATTGTGTAAACATTAGTTTCTGATGTTATTCTTAAAGCATGAAACCTTACCTGAAGACAAACTTTGTGAACGATATATGAACTGTACTCTAACAGACTAAATTGAACACTTCAAAGCCAGGTTACTGGGAAACCAATAAACCATAAATAAACCATTCACTGTTTACTATGCAAACACAAAGCAACAGACTGTTATGAAAAACTCTCAAAAGCATCAGGTAGACAGTGTTGGAAAAAAGTAGACAGTTGTGACAAAAACTATCCAGACATTATTCTCCTAATATTATCTCAAAAGAACTAAAATAAACACATACAAAATTTTCAAAAAGAACCAGTTGGCATAATGCTTATGGTGTAACATCTCCTGTGTATGGAAGACTATAATTAATACACATACAAACATGATGCAGTTAGCAATTTATGCATGTTAATGCAAGCAATCCTATTTTTCCTCAGGAATTTTAAATCTGATCACAAAATTTAGGAATCTGGTAGAAAAGGCTTCAGGTCAATTTTTTTTAACCAAATAAACTCCTGTTAGCATTGCTGATTTTTTGTAAAAAGCACAATTGCAGTTCAAAAACAGTTACAGAAGTGATTAAATTTCCTGACAAGAAAACGTGACCCAGGCATTTTCTTTTCTCAGCTATATTATATATGCAGATATATGATATATATCGACTGCTAATTAAGGCCACATAGAACTGTTTCAAATTACGTGTGCAATTTATTATTGCTATCATTCATCAGACGTGTAACGCGGGTCAATATCCTTGATACCGTTGGAGTGAATTCGCATGCGTGCAGGGAAACTTAGCAGCCTGGATTTGTAAAGCGGTGTTTTGGTATGAGGTGATCGCTCCTGGCCAATCAGAGCGCGGCTCAGACACTAGCTATTCCGATCTGCACAAAACTAGGAAGACAGGCAGCTCTGTCTGTAGCTTCTCACGGGGTTACCATCGGACAGGGTTACTCTCGGTCAAAAAGTAAAGCAAGATGGCGAACACGGCTGCAGCGAGGATGGGGCCCAACCGCCAATGTTTACACAGTTAATCTCACCAAAAGCACATGTCAACGCGTATCTTTAAATCATATGTAAACATCACAGAAACACTGTTTATTTTGAACAACAGAGTCACGAAATGTATGTGCAACTGATTCTATTAACCAATAACATAGATATTAGTTAATAGAATAGTTAGTAAAAAAACAGTATTGTAGTGCTTCCTCTGTCACCAACAAATTGTACCATTGTACATGATTTCTTAATTGTTGACTTTTGGTTACTTTCAAGACCCGTTGGTATCTACTACAGCATCTACTACTGTTATTATTATTATCATCATTGGTACATGGTTAACTAAGGTCGGATGAACCCGGGAGAGAGGAATGCACGACAGTAACCTCTGTGTAAAAAGCAGCGGGGGCGGGGTCCATTCGCCGCTATTAAACAGTTTACGTTCACAGATTGTGTCATAATTGAAATAACAATAGTTTAAACATATTATTTGAATTGTATATAAATGACTGTTTTCAAAACAACTGTCAACGTTTAGTGAATACTAGAACACCGGTCGGCGATTTCACTTCATGTTACCACAACAAGCTAACAACTGGTAATCCCACTATTAATTTACAAATAAAATATCTTTTTATTTTGGAAAAAAAAGTCACGCTAATAGTGTGCTAATTTAATTGGGACAATGTTTTAGAATGTTTAATGCAATTGATGGAAACATACGCTGAAACGGACATCATTATTGCGGTTTTGCAAAAATTAAACGTGACTGCTAATAGCGAATAATATTTCGTTATTTACGTACCATCGATGTCGCTTAAAAGCGCTGTGTCAATTTCGCTGGGGTCATGCAGCGACATCGTTGGATCCAGGCTATCCAACGTGGAATCGTCAAAGGATAGGTTGTTCATCTTTGCTCTTGTCTCTGTCTTCGAAATTGAGAGTTTTTTACCTTCCTGAATAGCTTTAATTGGAAAAACGAACCCTCCCTGAGTTCCTACATTTGCCAGCGTATGTGGTTCCTTCGTATTAGAAACACGCGGAAGAATTAGCTGCAACTTTCATCAAATGTGTCAACTAAGTACTCACTCCAACCGCCATTATCGCGCAGGGAAACTTGTCAAACCAAAGCCAAACACTGGGGCTCATTCAGGGACAACTAAACTTAGTTGCGCCGGCGAACGCAGAAGAACCCGCCCAGTCAATGGTGAATGACAGGCGCCACAGCAAATCGTAGCAGACGCACTGGATTTCCCACGACCCAGTTTCTTTGGGTAGTGTTGTCTGTGTGACGGGTGAACTGAGAGCTCGTGGAGCAAAATGATTTAGATTTAGATAATGATACAATAAAATATATTGATATGAATCTATTCATCATCCACCCATCAAGTCATATGGTGCAGCAGTGTCTCAATGCAGCTCGATCAAACAGTTCCAAAACAAATTCCATACATATAAAGGATAACCAGTTATACTGCATAATGTAATATTAAATATCCATGTTCTTAACAAACGTAAACTTAACCATATCAATTATTCTTTTTCTTTTTTTATCAAACAGCATGGACGTGTTTATCGTGGGCTTGCCCCAAAGAGCCAATCAGAACAGAGCGGGCGTGGCGTATAGAAAATCAAGTTTCTGTGACTTGGCGCTTAACAGCTTTTGTAGAACCAGAGAAATCAACCAATGGGAAGCCCGGGAGCCGAGTGGGGTGATCTGACGTCGCATCACCGTGACTAGATTACATCATGTGTTTCTCTCCTCAAAACATAGTAGCAATCGAAGGAAGGAAAAGTGGGAGGGTATATATGAGAAAAAAAAGGAAAAATAAATCCACGGACTTTTATGTAAAATAATTTCAACTCCATAGACTGTGTCCTTAATAAGCATGACTTGCTTATTAAGGACACAGTCTATACGTTGCACTACAAAACACGTGCGCATTATGAACAAAAAGCATGGTATAAAAAGTAGGTCAGAGACCTGTAGTAAGAACTGCTAAGTCAGAGCAGAATAATATTTTTAAAAAATATATTATTGGAGTGTGTTTGATTCTTGTTTTCGTCGTTATTTTATTTCAGTTATCTGTGCTTTATGCACAAAAACAATACTGTAAAGTTTGAATACATTTTACAGTATTGTTTTTGTTAAATTCACTACAAATAAAAATTTACAATAATTTTGAAATAATTTCTTTAGTGTTCGTCAGTACTGTCTAAACTGTGTATGTTGTTTCTCCTTTAAAAAAGATCAAGACATTTCTGAGAGTCAGATATCATTTATGGGAAACTATAATCAGTAAATGGATACAAGCTAACTAAAATTTTACATTTTAATTTTTTACAGTTAATTATACAGTAAGTAGCAGGGGTTTTACTGTAGGCTAAAAGTTTTTTTTTAATCCAGTGGACACCTGCTAGTCATCAAATCTAAATATATACTTCTTTGGAAATGTTAACCAATTTTGAAGATTTAAATAACACAATATTTAGTAACACATTTAAGTCAAAGACCAAAGCATTATAACTACTTTTAGCCACCCAAGGCATTGCAGGAGGGTTTATGTTTTGATAACAATAAGTAAGAATTACTTTTCTAAATTTTCTTTTAAAGAGAAACATCTTAAGTCATCACCACGTGGAATGGGGTGGGAGGTACTTGTGACAGGAAAGACCAAAGCAGTAACAACCCTAGGCTGACGGCAGATTGCATCAGTAGTTGTAAAAAGAAGACTATGGTATCTGAAACACAAACTCACGTACAAACATTTAGTGTAAAATAACCACCCTTAGTTGTGAGGTAGAGGTCTCACACTGCTAGTGTTTTATTGAGCAGTCACACATGACGTGCAAATTAATTCTTTCCATTAGTAATGGCAGCAAATTGACATTGAAGCCCCACCAACAGACAAAAAGGCATTACCAGTTTCCACAAAATATTAACCAAATGCTGTGACATCAATATTAAAAGACCTTTTTTTATAGATATAGCGATTTTTGTTTTGTTTTTGAGGAATACATGTTGCTTCAAAGACATAAGCTTCGCAAAAGCAAGTAACATTATATGCTCTGGTAACACTCTGAGATACATAACACAAACAAGTCAAACTCATTTCTGTTACATTTCAGAATTAAATTTGTTAGGCCTGCAAATAATAATAATAATAAACTGAATGACTGGCTTACATCAGTTTCCTGGCAATGAACAGAGATACACTTTATTAAAGTATATCATTTTTACTTTCACTAGGTAGGCAAACATTAAGACAGTTGTCCTTCACTAGAACAAGAAAGTTTGATTTGAGTTACACTGACGCAAGTTTTCAATTCATGTCACGTTCAAACAATCAAGATCTTTAACTGAAGAGCTGCACTAATAAAAGGATTCTATTTGGCTTACAAAGAGATTATTCAGTCAGACATCAGAGATACTTTGCCAAATTCCATCACTCACAGAAAACCTTTGCAGAAAACAAAGTGGGAGAATGACACATTACATGAAGCACAATTATGTTTCATCCTTTCCTTTTTCTTCAAGTTAAGACATTAGAAGTGCAACTAGGGATCAGCCTTTTTTCTTACACAGGCAAAACCAATACAATCATTGGGCCAAGTAACGCATACAACCTTCCTGTTTGCTGAATATTATGGGTTAATACATTTGTTTGATTAGAAACAAAAATACAAAATATTTGAGGTACTGATGCGATATACTAATACAAGATAACTGAAGATCTACCTTTGTGAATATATTCTTTACTGCGACTACTTGAAATGTAATAATGCATACTTTTCTCTTAAATAATTGTGCAACTTTTAATATTTAATACTTTTTGCAATCAGACTCTTGGACAGATCTCCCACACTTGAAGTTAAGAGAACTGCAGATACACATTTACAAAAAAGTTATTTGCATATGAAGACAATCCAAAGACCATTCCCTTCCCGCTAGAAAAATAGTAACCATCTCAATGACAAAAAGACAAAATACAGATTTGTTTTTGCTTCAAAGTGCACAGATGTAAATCATAGCAATGGGGAAAAATGTTTACGATGCACAAACCTGATTATGGTTTAGTAGAATACAATAAGAACTAGTTGGTCATTAAAGCCGTCATAATCTTTGGAATGGTTAAAGGTGTCTGAGTTTCACTGCTGAGGCTTCTTAATGTGACTGCATCTATGGATGAGCCACTTCTTCCACAGACAACAGCTTCACTAGCACATTTTTGTTTAAACTTTTGATTCTACATCCCTTTGGCTATACAAACACTGGCATACACAATTAACTATGAATTAGCTTTTGTTCTCCAAGTTAGCAAATGTTTCCCTTTTGACAAGATTATGTTCTCTACAGTGCTTCAGGCAAATTGGGTCAAACCAGATGTCACTGCACACGTCCTGGTTAAAAGCATGGCAACAACTCTAAGTGGTTCATTTGTCCACAGTGCTTGTACAGAGTAAGAAAAGAAGCAATTAAAAATGAATTGCATTAATTAGCTCAATGTTAACTACTGTGTATTGTGCTATATGTGCGACTACGCAGTGACCGCAGCAAATGTTTTCATTAATTTTGCAATTTTTTTTTAAATGTCTTCAGACTAAGGAAAATTAAGAAGATGCAAGTATTACATCCCACAAAACAGGTTATTACATCCATATATAGTAATGTGCAGAACACATGTTGAACCTCTCTCCATTACAGCAACACTGTGGCACAGGAACTACAGAAATGGGAGATGACCTGCTGCAGCACGGCCAGTCGGCTGTTAAATAGGACTGGAAAGATTGTTTTTAAATAGTCATGAAGGTCTCCAGGTGCCCCAGAGAGCCAGCGAGGGCCTCAGGAAATATCTTACAGGGCAAAGAGGGCATCTTCAGTCCGTTCAGCCTTCTTGTTCGAGCCACCAGAGGCTCGGGCTGGATGAGTGGAGCTCGCTGCTGGTGGAGAGGACAGAGTGTCTGCTGCCTTCGCTCGCTCTTCCAGGAACTTATCGAACTCTGAAAGAAAGAAATTCATTTTTTCTATCATCATGTTCAGGTAGAGCCTTGGGTGAAATTAAAAAAATCTATTAAAGATAATGGAGCAGATACAGTTTTTAAACATTTTAAATATTTAGAGGTTCTGTACCTTCACTGGTCACACCTTCTTCAGTGGCATCCCCTTTCTAGTGAAGAAATTAAAAAATTCATGAGATCACATGCACATTAGTCAGCGACTTCTGAATGTTCTTTGTTTATAAAGGTACATCATGGCATTACATACACTTCCTTATGCTGATTATCACCAACTAATCGATGTTTATATATTAAGGTTAGAGAGAGAAAGTCTCCGGAAACTGCTCAATACAGATGTAAGTCATTCATCCTCCAGGATGATGAGGAAGGTATTGTGAGCCTGACTTTAAACCGTCACATGCATATTTAAGTTCACCTCAATAGTACATCAGTACATCAGTCAATTGTTTAGGGAAATAATTGACAGTGAATGAAATGGTGTTAAATAAAAATAAACAAATAAATGTATCCACTGAGATGGACGGCTCAGAAGTGATTATCCAAAATAAAGAAAATTTAAAAAAAAGTTAAGGAAAGTCGAGGAGATGAGAAGAAAAATAAATGAAAATCACAGTAAAGAAGTCTCACCACGTCAGCACAGAGCCACTCCTCTATGTCATCCATGACAGAGGACTGTGATACAGGGATCTATGGAGCATAAACCACGGGGCCACATCACAGACGCAGACACACAGCCGCAACAAAAAAGGTAACACACACACATACACAAATGAATAGGAATCATCAAAGGCTCAGTGAAAAAAAAAAATCAAACAAAAATTTAAATTTGAGCCAAAACAAACTCAGCTCTGCCAACATTCGACCCCTTTCTAGTCTGTGCTCCCACTTTCCATTCAGCGCTTCTCAGCCGTGGAACAGGAGTTCCCAGGTTGTGTATTGTTTTCGTTAGTCATGTAGATCCGACTTAGCTTACGAGCTGCCGGCTGATGTCACGCAGCAGTGTTAATCATTCCACATCATTAGTTAATGAGCAAATCCCTTAAACGTGATTAGGAGATTGATTGGAATGGAAACGCTGAGGAAGTGGAATCACACACTACTCACATACGTACGTGCACACACAAATTAAAGAACACATGAGTGATGACGGTTATAGCCTGCGATTTTGGGGTTGGAAGGAATATCCAAGTTGACAATAGGCAACATCGGGAAAAAGTGATGAAGGTCTATTATGAGGCGGCGATGACCGTATTAGGAAAGAGTAAGAATTGAATAAAAAAGCTGAACTTTGTTCACTGTGCACATTGAAATGATATACTGCCAATTATATAAACTGACACTCTGCTTTGCCAGCACTAAAAACAGACACTAATTAAACACACATCTTCCACAGCCAGAGTGAACAGCATATATATATATTTGTATTCGCCGAAAATAAAAACAATGTTCTGCAATGTGTCACTGACACATGCGATGTGTTTAGGTCTAGTCCTCCTCAATCATTTTATGATCTTGATTTCTGTCTGCACTTTTCCCCTCAGAGCTCCTGTTCTAACGTTTTCTCATGAGATCATAGACAACAGGGAAGGAGTAAAACAAAAAAAAGTTAAAGCAGAAGGGAAGAAAAAGTCATTCACAGGAAAATAAAACCAGACAATAACATGACAGGCACATGGATGAAAACAGTGTTGTAGAAAACAACAATAACAAGCCTGTGTCCTTTGAAGAATGACATGAAATGCGTCAACACAAATCCCTTTGTGTTCAAGACACACAACGACAAAGGCCTTAGTGGAGATTACTTGGTTAGCTGACCTATTTCTGACATGTAAAAACATCTAATGTAGTATTTAGGATCCACAGACAATTAGTGGACATTACTGATACTCACTACTACACAGCAAACCACCACTCATTCTCTCAGTCAATAATTCAGGTGGGATTTGTATTACCAGAGTTTTGACCTTGCTGTGTAGAGAAAGTATCTAAACTCCTCCATTATTTTAGTGCGTTGCTGTTAAAGTCTGGATCTATCAGACAGACGGAGTTTTTATTTTATCTATACAGCGATAGAGTGAGGTGACAGGGTCTCATTATTGGGAGTATGTGTTTAGTGCCTGTGTCAAAGAAATATATAGAGGTGAGCAATATGGAGTGAGCAGAAATATATAGAGGTGAGCAATATGGACAATTCATTTTGAATTGTTTACGTGTATATCAAATTAAATTACATTTAAAAGTGAAAACAGAACAAACAAGGGTGGGTCAAAAAAATCCAAGACAAATGGGAAAATATGTATATTCATAAAAATATACAACGCTATTTATCTATGTACATTTAACCACTGTTTTCATCAGATAATTATTTCTTTGTAGAAGATCATTGTAGTCTTCTGTTCCAGGCAAGGATTGAAATCCTTCTTTTTTCTGTTTTGTAAAAGAAGTCTAGAAATTCTATCGCAAAGCCTTAATAATTTTAACAGGTTTCTATTCAGGTTTGGTTTAAAGCAGGAATTTCAATCTCAAAATGATATTACCTTTCTTTCTATATTAAAATGTCTCAGAAATTTGTTGACTTGCCCCTGTATACTGCCATACTGCCCACCACTGGAATAAAATAGTAACTCCACTCTGGTTTTCTGTGACTAAATGAATGAGATGAGGCTGAAAGTGAGGTGCTGCTCATAAAGGTCATGGATGGTGCTGGAGGAGCTGGACAGCAGGGGTGGTGGTGGACATGCAGTGTTAGGAGGACACACTGAGGGTGGAGTCCTCACCATTCCTTGGGTAATTAGCCAGCTGTCTATGGGTAGCTCCAGATCTGCTGGATTATCATCACCATTTACCCTCAGCTGAATCAACAACAGAACAATACCTTACACAAGAGAAGACAGGAGGCAGGCCCACAGCATACAGTGCAGAGAGAGAGACGGGAGAGAAGTCAAATATGCAAGAGGAGGTTGGATTTTTTTTTTCAAACAGAAAATGAAGATTATGAAAATTAAAAGAAATGGCAGAGTGTTCATTCCACAAAGATGGAAACCAGAAATAAGAAAAAAAGACTTGAATGGTCGATATAATAACTTGTGTGTTGTCTGTGTCTTGTCTGTGATCTATGTGAACATGTACAGTATGTCTGGGTCAGTCCAGATTCAGGTTATTTTCCATATAACCTGTGGTAACTGAGCAAATATAAAGCAATGTGTGTTCAGACAGGTCAAGTCAAAAGTATCGAGTGACACGTGTGACCTTGTTGTTTGAGTTCCTGTGTAAACTGCAAAGATAAACTGAAACCAGACCAGAAAAAGAACTGACATCTACTGTTATAATACAGTGTAAGAACAGAATGAATGTTTTTGTTTCAACAGTGAGAATATTTTCTCCAATAGGAAAGAAGGAAAGGAGTTTGGATGTGGAGATTTGTGTCCAGTTTGACTACGTCTTCACTAAACCTATGTCTCAGCTTCTTACCTTTAGGAAAACACTAAAATTAATATATTTATTTTCAGTTAATCTCCAGCACCCATCCCTCCGTTTCTGTGTCTGACCAAAGTCCAAACATCACTGACACCAGGCAGTGTTACTGTAGGACAAATAGTCAAACAGAAACAGGGTCTGTCCAACGACTAGGCACGGGAACATTCTGGAACACAAACACACGCTGAGGCTCCATGTGTGACACATGTGCTTCAGTGTGTACTCACCCCCCCTGTGTTCTGCTGCCTCACATCCAGAGCTGAGGCCAGGCCGCCCAGGGCCTGTGGGTCCTCGTACTTCACACTGTGTACAAAACAAAAACTGTCAACAACATGGATGAAGACACAACACTGAGTGATCCCATCATGTGGGCTGCATCAAAAGCTGTTGTAAATCTTTAAAAAAATAACTACAGTGCTGTTAAATTAAATTACATCATGGAAGTCACTGGAGTTCAAATGATTCATTAAGAATAAAATCCCTGCGGAGCATCGTAGAAGGAGTTCTGTGTTCCCACAGCCACATTGAAAATCAGACCTACTTTTTGCGCTGTTCAGCGAGAGAGCTGCTCCTGGTCTGGGCAAACATGTCGAAGTCGTACTGTTTGTGACCCGGCAGAGACGATAAGGTGCCGCTCACATTGTCTGAACCCACACCTGGAGGCCGAGGCAGACAGAAGAGAGAAGAAGATAGGAGAGGTTCATAAAAGGTAAAAACATCAGGAACAGAGAAGTGAAAAACATAATGTCACATATGTGAACTAAGGAACCACATCCACACTGTGTGGAGTATAATGAACAATAAGGCTCAGTTCTGGCCTGACTTCTAGTCAGCAGTCAAATTATGAACCATTTTTATAATCTCCTTCTTTTCCATCAGCAGTTACTGTGAGGGAGGGGTGTTACAGGACTGATGAGCAGATGACTCTGAAGCCCCCTCTGGGACAGAGACATTAAAAAGCTCTGCTCACCAAGGCCAGCCAGAGCCGTGGAAAGCGACGCCGCGTGAGCCGGGGAGGCTGAGGCCCCCGCAGTGGACTGAGGTGGAGGGCTGCCTGTGATCCTGGGCGTGACCACAGCAGGGGATCCAGGGCCCAGGTCTATCAGGTTGTCGTCCGTAGCCTCGTTCAACATCTGCCAGGGGGAAAAGAGAGGAGAAGAAAGGTGACAGTCAGCAGTTGTGAAGGGATTTAAATATGCAGCACCAGCCGGAAAAACAGATGAAGGAAGCACATAAGTTTGTACAGCTAATCACACTGTACCAAAGACTGTCCTTTAACACCGAGGGAAAACTTTCCAGCTGCCACTGTTAGTGCTCACTTATTGTAGCAACTGAATGTCAAGTGTGGGGAAGAGGGCACATTCCTGAAAACTTAAAAGCTGGAGTAACCCTTCAAGGGCAACTACATTGCTGATGTGGCCCCTGGTGAAAATGAGTTTGACACGACTGAACTATGGGATACGAATGTCTCAAGGAGGGTGAAAGAAAAAGGGGTAAAATCTAAATTTTATCAGGGTTTTTTGTATCAACCAGGTTATTTTCTTCTATTCAAAGGCTCCACACAACATAGTTATATTTATCACTATGTTCATCCGCTCGGGGAGAACACAACACTTGTGTCATACTTGCCTCCAGCAGCTAGCAGCAACACAAACAGACAGACAGAGCAGACACAAAGATTAACAGCATGAAAACAAACAGACAGATATGTAGGATGTAGTGAGAGACTCCACGGCAAACAAAGGATATGAATAACCAGTTGGAAACGCTCCGGCTCGCCTGACACATTTTGCAAAGTCACCAAGCACGCACTTGTATTATACATGAAATTCAAACCGTCTTCCTGCAGACTGTGAACAGTGATTGACGGGACTCACCCCGTTGTTCTGTGCTGCTCTGCCAGACCTGTACCTCTCATATCTGTGAAAACAGAAAAAAAAAATAGAATTCTTTAACAATATCTCTGCTGGCCTCAAAGGCTTATGTTGGTTTCATCTTTAAGAAAAATGCCCTCAAAGACAGATTAAAGCTCTTTGAAATCTGAATATTTGAGCTTTTTATCTCAAAAACAGAGATTTGGATGAAGCTGAAGTCAGTTCTAATGCTGTTTGGTGTCTCTGGTGAGACCATACCTCTCATATCTGAGGAAAATGTTGTTGAGGTCGTCGTTGACGTGTAGAAGTTCCTCCGTCACTTCCTCGTTGGAAACACGGGAAATCAACTCGACCACTCGCTGCTGCATCGCCCTGCATGTTCGGTTCAGCTCCTAAAAACAGAGACACTGCCAGACTGATCCACTGAACTACAGAAGAATCAATCAATCAGAAGAGCAACAAATGATTTAAAATAAATGGGAAAACATGCAGTCTGAAAAAGTGATGTTAAAAACACCAATACTGCTAAACATTTTATTTTATTTTATACAGATACTAAATTAATTTTATTCTTAGAAAATAACATTTTATACAAGTTTACTTCTGTAGAATTTACCATAGGGAGCATCTGGTGAGACAGTACGTGCATCTTTAAAAAAAAAAAGCTGTCAACTAACTCCCCCTTGTGGCTGAAAATGGTTAAAACCTAAAGGTGAGGTTTTATTTTAGGTTAGAGTTTTTTGTTGGGTTTATACAATGAAAAAATTGACATAAAATATAAGACTATAACTTTTGGTAATTCATTATTAAATAAGGTACGATTAAATATGGTTACATCCATAAATTTACTTTTTCACTCATTCCGAAAGAGAAAGAAGAAGTGAAACAACTGAACACAAATGTGAAAAGGAGTTAATGTGTGTGTGTGTGTGTGTGTGTGAGTTTGTGTGTGTGACCTGTAGCAGTTCCAGGTCAGAGGCATCCTCCTGTCCAGGCACCATCTCTGTCAGCATCTCTGACATGACTTTGACGTTTCCTCTTACTATGTCCAACTCAGAACGCAGCCTGGCGATCTAGGGAAAAACACAGAACAGATGTTCCAGACTGAAGAAAAGTAAAGAACTGTAATACGCTTTAATCCTGCACCTATTTTTAGACCAACTGGTAAAAACCAATCATAAATGAAGCTTGACTTTAAAAGAGTCACCTGTTCAGGGGTTGCTGTGATTGGTCCAGACATGTTGGAGACTTGTGTGGAAGAAACAGGGCTGGTGGCGGGTTTTGGAGCTGGTGCAGGTGAAGTTGGGGCGAGGTACTTAGTCATGGCAGGGTCCACCTCAGGCGTGCCCTGCAACAAAACAGAACACCTTTCACTTCATTTTCTGTGAAAAATAAATGTGTTTTCACTGCACACCTCTGTTTTTCATCTCACTCTCTGCGGTGTGTGGATGGGAGACAGTGCATCCAGGTCTGCCATCGGGAATTCAACACCTTTCCTCTTCAGCTCCTCATAAATATGGACCACACCAGTAAGATCAGGGCTGCTCCTGAAGGCGTCAGCCCAGGCCTGCAGTCACACACACACACACACATTATTATGAAACCGAGCCCAGGCCTGCAGTCACACACACACATTATTATGAAACCACTATGCCAATACATAAAACAATACAAAAGTATTTTTCAAATTCACTATTAAATTCACATTATTATGATTTGATCAGACATTGTCTAAAATAAAGTTCTTTTATAAATAAAAATTGTTAAAAACATGAATTATGGCGATAATGCAAAACAGATATTTCTAAATGAGTATATAATTGTTCAAAACGAATTATTCCTCTTACACCGTGTATATATGACAGTTATGTTTTCAGATGAAGTCACTTTCTTCCTCTTCGCAGACTTTTTTTTTTACACTGACTGAAGTCAAACACAGAAGAATCCTCTCTGTTCTTTCATCAGCCATGTTCTCCAGCTGCTCCATCAGGTAACTGTTGGTAACACCTCAGGCAACAGGCTGTGATTCAACAGCAGCAGGCTTCCCAGAAACCTCTAACATGAAACACACACACACCAAGGTCCATACCTGTATGAGCGACAGCACTTTGTCCTGGACTATAGTTGGAGGATTGGATTTGGGGGAAATGATTTTGACCAAAACTCCATCAATGAAGTCTCTGTTTGCTACCTGGATGTGAAACCTGTGACCACAGTTCTTCACACATGTCTCCAACACCTGCAGGGAGACATTAGAAAAGACAAAGAGAGAGGACTGAGGCGTGAGACACCACAGAGGACATCTGCCAGATCAGACAAAAAAGCACAGGAGCTTTTAGTCACAGAGAAAAATGAAAAGTGAAAAAAGAATTGATTTTACAGATGGAACAGGTGTAAAAACCCCCAGGTCACGTTATCAGAAGAAACCAGGTTGGAAGAATTGTACAATAAGGAAAATACACATGATAAAAGACTAGGCTTAGGGTTAACTTTAATGACATGACACCAGCTGATGTGACAGCTTACTGTGAGAGCCAGCATCACTTCTCTGAAGTTCCTGTTGCCGCTCAGTCTCTTCTTCAGCGCGCGCATGGCGTCTTTGGGCCTAGAGGGAGAACAGCAGAGAACCGGCAGCTCCATGAAACAAACTGAGTGAGAAGTAGGAGCGACTTCTGTACCTTCAGATGTTAAAAAAAATAAATAAATGAATCCCCACAGCTGTGAGAACACAAGTCAGAGGAGCCGCCAGTGAAACTGTCTGACTTCGACCGAGACTTATCGTCAACACCATCTGTTTCTCCTTTTGGCTCCTGCGCGACTCTTTCTCTCTGAGACTGGATCAAAGTTGTCCACGAATGAAGAGCTGAGTTTGGCTGTCTTTACATTCACAGAGGGAGCGCCGCTGCCAAGTTTATACCTCATCCTATGGACAATTCTCATCTACTTAATACAGCAGGAAATTAGCCTCCTGTCGCTTTTCTCCTCAGATTTGGATTTCCATATTTCACAGAAATATACCCAAAATATCCAATGTTTCAATTCTAAAAAAAACCTCTTGCATATAAAAATACCCAAGTTGAACTTAGTGCAGGTTGTACTCATTGAGTTCAGGTAAACTCAAGTAATGTAAATAGAAAAGTCATATTTTCCTAGTAGAGGAGCACTTACATTTTAAAGGCATCCCTCACAGTTTCTTTCTTCCTGTATGTTAATCTGCTCAACAGATAAACATACAATACAATACATATGACATAACACGAGAGCACTGTGAAGGTGCGGCTTATATTTAGAACTGCTTCATTTTTTGCATGGCCATTTTAGAAAACCTTATGGTCAAATGTACATCTCTATATAATTCTAGTATTTTTAACATTGTTGTTGAAAGAAGCCTGTCTGACGATGCAGCATTGGAGTAACAATATTAAAGTAGAGCTGAAATCAATTGAACTCAACCCTGGCTATTTTTGAATCATTTTAGTTGGAATAAGAAATAAAAGTGATTTATTTATAATCACAGTAGCAAAAAATAGTTTTAACACATCTGTGGAGTGAAGCAGACACTGTTTTAGACAAACGACAAACGACACAGTCTCTCTTTCTCTCTCCCTGTCACTGAGACACACAGACAAGGCCCTGTTTTGCACACCAATACAATGAGTGTGCGTAGGGCTGAAGTATGTGAAAGGCTGCGTGACAACAAGAAAGAGCCAAGTGCTGAAGAGTACACGGTGAAACACCAGACTCTAAAGAAAAGTTTAATATTTGTCTGCACAGAAATGTCCTCAGTGTGATAACAGGTATGAAGCTCTGCAAATATCAAAAAAAAGAGTGCTTTTTTATTCTTGTTGTACTTCAGTTTTCAAAGTGTAAGGCGCTAGCCTGCTGGGAGCGCCAGAGCATTGAGAGCATGGATTTTGGATTTTTTTTTTTCATTTCTTCTCATTGTTTTCGTGACATATTCTTATGAATGAGTGATGTTTGCAAATGCTCTCTCAATATATTTTAGCAAGCACAGTTCAGTAATAATAAATGATCAGTGACATCATATCATTGGCATCTTTCACTGTTGGAGGCTGATAAAGGAATTCCATTCATTTAGTAAAAAAAACATCTATTAAATAAGAAAAAAAAACAAAGAGCTTCCTCTCATGTGGTTCTGATACACAGCAGTCAGTGTATAAACTGTCAGAATCACTCATTCAGTCAGTGGGTGAAGACACAAAGAAAAGACTTAAAAAGTACTGTTTGGACCAAATGACCTCATGAGTTCCTTGAGACAATGGTTATATTTTATTAATGAAAAGACACACATAAACATTAGGACCAAAGATTAATGAAATCCTCACCCTTCATCTGTCTCATTGATGATATCACAGATTTCCATGTTGAGGGTCCAGTCCTCGTTCTGTAGCCCCCCATCTGTGGCCCTTTCTGCAGAAAAAAAACATAACATATTAATCTACCTTCCTATTTCTTCCAAAAAATTGCAATACTACTGGTTTTATTTTAAAATTGTTAATGTTTATAACAGATACAGAGCAATACTACTGGTTTTATTTTAAAATTAATAAAATGTTAATGTTTATAACAGATACAGCCAACCTGGAAAAGAAAAGAAAGAGAGAAAACACAGAGAGACGGCAGCATCTCTGCTAATGTCTACAGAACCATGTAATGTAACAGACAAAATTACTGACAGCATTTGTTTTTAAATGCTTGTATTGTTTATAAGGTTATATACTGTAGGTCTCAGATACAAAGCTACATTGTGTTTTATGTTTCTGGATGGAACAGAGGGAACTGGAGATTTAAAACTGTTTTCCTTCTTCTTGGATGATCATGAACCCAAACCATCACAGTGATATCCAAGCCAATGTGTGCAGCCTGCCAGCTGACTCACTGACAAGCATGACACTGCATTTTTAGCCTGGCTCTTTTGTCCCCAACACTAATTTATCTTTTAAAGAGGCAGCACATTAACCAAAGCAACACTAGGAGTAAAATGGTGGGGAGGTCTGTATGTTTTTACTACATGTGTGGAGGGATTCAGTGGATTACTGTAGAAAATTGCTATAACATTAACTGTTTCTTATGGTCATCTTGCATGTCCATTAAAATACTATTTAAAACAAGAGTTCACCAAATGTATTTGAAATAAAATTAAATTAAATGTTTTGTCTAATGCAATATAATAGTCATTAAATGTTGAGGATTCGACTCACAGGTTTCTAGTTAATGATTACTGATATAAGATGTCAACATATTTCATTCTGTCACCTCGTTCTCAGTCTCCTGTCTTTCAAACACTGCAAGTCATAAAGACAATAAAAACAAAATAATGGGACATCTTGTGTAATGTCTTTGTTGAGACTGCCTCGTTCAGGGGGTAGAATTTGGAGGCCAGTGAGTGGAAAGAGTATAAATTCTGAGTGTGGAAGAAGCTCCAGTGACCGCAAACAATCAGAGCTTTACTAATGAAGTTAAATGTCCGCTCAGTCCCTCATTCATTCACTGTGTTGTGTCAATCCTGGCAGTCATGGGAATCTGCATCACACCAGCCCATCCAGTCGATCACATGGCTTTAACAGTGGCAGGCTGTGCCACTCACTGTTAACAAAGGCACAAATCTCTGCCCAGTCTGCTCCGTCTCTCCATGTACATAACTGTCCAAACCAGTCATTTATACTTGTCATCAACCTTTCCCTGTCACGTGTTTAAATCCCATAAGGGTGTTCAAGTTTTACAGACCCTCAAATTCATCTGCAGCATCATCACAGTATACCATGGGTTGCAACTTATTATTTATTTTAATCAGCTCACATTTGTGAGTCTGCTATCCCACTGTCAGATGGACAACACTGCTGTGGCTCAATGCTTTGACCATGAATGACACAGCTCAGCTTTTCCCTCATGAAAAAATTATGAGTGTTCAAAACTCTTGTCCCTGTGCAAACCCCCGCCTTCTTGTCTTTGCC